GGTGTATGTGGCTGGCGCTGTAACAACTGTGCTGCAGGTGCCGAGCCAACAGGATCTTTTGCAAAGAAGAAATTTTTAGTTTTATGAAGTCTAATTTATTGACTTTTCCTTTTAGGAATTGTGCTTTTGCTGTGATACTACATACTAGCTGCCTAAGCCCTAGATCCTGAAGACTTCGACTTACATTTTATTTAAGAAGTTTTATAGCTTTATGTTTTACATTTATATCTATGATCCATTTCAGGTCGATTGTTTATCAGGTCTGAGATTTAGGTCAGGATTCATATTTTTGCCTGTAGATGTTTGTTGAAAAGGCCGCCCAAAGCCAGCCCTCTGAATCCACAGGTTTGGCATCCTCAGACTCAACAACAAAAAATACGATATTCACAGAATGTGGAACATGCGATAGAGCAGACTGCCTTTCATATCCACAGACTCCGCAGGGCCAACTGCACAACTGAGCAGCCGTGCATTTTGGTACCCACGGAGGTCCTGGAAAAGTGCCCCATGGATACCAAGGTATGACTGTATTTCCTCCGTCGAATTGTTTTGGCACTTTTGTCAAACATGAGTTGAGCATGTTTGTGTGGGTCCTTTCAGGATTCTCTGTTCTGTTCTATTGATCCATGTGCCCGTCCCTTCAACAACACCCCCCGGTCTTGCTTACTCTGTCTGGATAAGTCCTGAAGTCAGGTAGACGCCTTCCTTCCACTGTATTCTGCAAAATTGTTTTCCCTATTCTAGTTCCTTTCACTGTCCATATATGTTTTAGAATAATTTTGCCTACATCTTGCTGCGATTTTGATAGGACTTGTGGTAAAACTGTATATAAATTTGGAGAGAATAGACTTCATCCTTATTTTGAATATTCTAATCCCAGAATAGAATGTCTCTCTCAATTTATTTAGATCTTCTTTGATTTCTTTCACGAGCATTGTGTGGTCTCCAGCGTACAAATCCTATGTATGTTTTCTTAGATGATTTATTTCATTTTTAAAGCTATCGTGAGGAGCAGTATACTTTAAATCCCAGTGTTCATATGTTCATTACTAGTACATAAAAGTACAGTTGGTGGTTGTAAGTTTGTCACAAGTCCAAGGACCCTGCTGAGCTCATTTATTAGTTCTAAGCGTCTTTGGTCATCATTTCTTCCTTGGGAGTTTTTACCATTATGTCATGGGAACAAATTCTGGGATGTTTAATTAACCTGGATGTATTTTTACATTTCCTTTTGAGATTTCCTCTTTGTTCCATGCATTATTTAGAGGAGTGTTTCTTAGTTTCCAAGTGTTTGGAGATTATTTATTTGTTTATTTATGTATGTATTTTTGAGACAGAGTCTCACTATGTAGCCCTTGGTAGAGTGCCAAGCAGCACGCAGCAACCTCCAACTCCTGGGTTTAAGTGATTCTCTTGCCTCAGCCTCCCAAGTAGCTGGGACTACAGGCGCCCACCACAATGCCGGGCTATTTTTTGATAGTAGTTGTCATTGTTGTTTAGCTGGCCCAGGCCAGGTTCAAACCCCCCGGCCTGGGTGTATGTGGCCGGTCCTGCTCACTGCTCTGTGTTTGTGAGTGGATCTTTCTGTGTAGCTTTTAGTGTTTTTTCCAGGTACTAGATTAAAAATATGAAATTCACGACAGCCTATTGGTGTTGTCATTTTACCAGTTACAGACAGTGGAGAAGCTTTACCTCCCTTCATGTCCATTTACACTCTCTATTTATAATATCCTCTTAAATATTTCTTCTAAATGCATTAAGAACCATGTCAGAAAGCATTACTACTGTTCCCTCAACTGAATAACATAATTCAGAAAGTTCAAAAGGAAAGCATATTCCATATACCCTAATTTTGCTTACCACGCTCTTTCCTAAAGGACCTCTTTCCAAGGTCCTTTCCTCTATCACTTTCTGTCTATTCAGAACAACCCTTCCTTTAGTCTTTTCTTTCTCTTTTTTTATTGCCAATGCCCAGCAGCTGAGTGCCAGCCTGGGCCACTGCCATGATGCTCACAATTTAAGAGGCCACCTGCAAGGTGGGGGCAGCCCCCATTATGCACAAGCACACACTTGGGCACTGAAGCCTGACCTTTGCCGCCACAGGGAGGTGCCTGGTGGGGGCTCCAAGGCAGCACAGCAGTCATTTCTTTACGGGAGGTCTATGGGCCATTGATCTCTTAGGTTTTTCTTCATCTGAGAATATCTTTATTACTCTCATTTCTGAAAAAAACTTTTTTAGGGGGGTACAAGATTCTGAGTTAACAAATTCTTTTATTTCAGGACTTGAAAAATATTGTTCCACTCCTTCTGTCCTCCACAGTTTCTGACAGAATATATTCTGCCTTTTGAATTATTTATCTTTTATAAATAAGGTGTGATTTTTCTCTGGCTGCTTTCAAGCTTTTTTCTGTGTCTTTAGTTTTCAAAAGTTTAATTATGATGTGTCTTGGCACTAATTTCTTTGGTTTTTTTTTTTTTTGGAGTTCAGTCATCTTGAATCAGTAAGTTTGTGTCTCTTGCCAAATTTGGGAGATCTTGCTCTAATTCCAAAGGGTCGTGAGGCTCTGTTCATTTATTTTTGGTATATTTTCTCTGTTTTTCAGATTTAGTCATTTCTATAATCAGTAATTATTCCTCTGTCCCCTCCATTCTGCCATTCAACTCAGGCACTGAGTTGTGAGATTTCAGAATCTAACAGTAGATCTACCCTTAGTTCTTTGACAAATCTCCATGGTGGTTGGACTAATGTATAAGCTTTCCCTTTTCACTGCATCTCGACCAACATCTATGGTTTTTTGACTTTTTTTTTTGAGAGAGAGAGTCTCACTCTCTCACCCTGTAGAGTGCTATGATGTCATAGCTCACAGCAACCTCAAACTCTTGGCTTAAGTGATCCTCTTGCCTCAGCCTCCCAAGTAGATGCCACTATAGACAGGCACCCACAACAATGCCACCGGGCTAGTTTTTCTATTTTTAGTAAAGATAGGGTCTCCCTCTTACTCAGGCTGGTCTGGTGAGCTCCAGCAATCCACCTGCCTTGGCCCCCTGGAGTACTATGATTACACTGTGAGCCACTGGGCCTAGCCTTTGTTTTTTGACTTTTTAGTAATGAACATTCTAATTGGAATAAGATGGTAACTCACTGTGGCTGTAATTTGCATTTCTCCAGTGATTAGTGGCATTGAGCATTTTTTCATGTTTGTTGGTCATGTTTTATCTTCTTTTGAAAAATACCTGTTCATGTCATTTATCCACTTTTTAGTGGGGTGGTTTGTTTTTTCCTTGCTGAGTTATTTGAAATTCTATAAGTTGTCTATTTACTCTTTTGATCACTTCTTTTGCTGTGAAGAACAAGATTAATTACTTTATTTATTTTTGTTTTTTTGAAACAGAATTTCATTTCATCACCTTCAGTAGAGTGCCACGGCATCATAGCTCATAGCAACCTCAAACTCTTGGGCTCCAATGATCCTCTTGCTTCAGCCTCCTCAGTAGCTGGGACTACAGGCCACAATGCCTGGCTAGTTTTGGAGACAAGGTTCCACTCTTGCTCAGGCTGGTCTCAAACTCCTGAGCTCAAGCAGTCCATCCGCCTCGGCCTCCCAAAGTGTTAGGATTACAGGTGTGAACCACTGCGCCCAGCCAGGGTTGATTATTTTAAAGGGGGTATAGTCCCGTTCGATCTTATTATAGTCCTCTTTCCCACTCTTTGTATCCATCATCCATATTTATTTTTATTTTCATGACACACACATATAGATAGTTGTAAATAATATGTAGTGAGATTTTATGGCTTAAAAATTTACATATCTTATACAAAAAATTAATTCAAACACAAAACCATAAAACATAAAACTATACAACTTAGGAAGAATGCTTAATTAATCAAAGTGTTCTTAGATATGTTACAAATAGCAATGATCTATATAAGAAAAAAACTGATAAACTAGACATTAACAACATTAAAAGATTTTGTTCTGTGAAAGATACCTTTAAGAAAAGATAAAGAAAACAGAGAAAATATTTGCTAATCATTTTCCTATCTGAGGAAGGTCTTCTATACAGTCTCTATAAAGAAATCTCAAAATTCAATGGTAAGAAAACAAGCAATCTAGTTTTCTGAAATGAGCCAAAAGATTTGAGCAAATACTCTACCAAAAAAGATATACAGATGGCAAAGAGCCATAAAAAGATGTTAAAATTATTAGTAATCAGACAAGTTCCAATTAAACTGCATTATAATAAACCTATGTGTTAATTTAAATGACTAAAAATAGAACAAATATCTGATAACACCAGGTACTGGCAAAGATGTAGAGCAACCAGAACTCTCCCACAATTAATGTAGAAAGCAGTTTCTTACAAAATGAAACAACACTTACCTTATGACCTGATAATCTCATTTCTACATTTTTACACAAGTGAAATGAAAACTAATGACAACTTTTGCACAAAGGTTTATAGTGGCTTTATTCATAATTGTCAAAAATTAAACACAATCTAAATGTCTCTCGACAAATTATAGTCTATGGTAAAATGTAATATTACTTAATAAAAAAAAACTATTGATACGCATAACAACTTGGATGGATCACAAGGGCATTATGCCAAGTGAAAAGAGCCAGTCTAAAAAGGTTACATGCCATATGATTTCACATATATGATGTTCTGAAAATTGCCCAAGAAAAGATAGTCTGAGGAATGAAGTGAGGTTTAGTAAAAAGAGGCAGCACGAGGGAATTTAGGCGGGTGTGTGATGAAACGGTTCTGTTCCTAACTCTGGTGGTAGTGACAAAATTGTATGCATTTGTCAAAACTCATAGGACCATACATCAAAAAGAGTGAATTTTACCATATGTGACTAAAAACTAGAGACAACATTTACATGAATGTTGTCCCACAGTATTCATCTTTTTGCAACTTCTGATTCACTCAACATTTTTTTTTCCCCTAGATCTATCTATGTCTTTAAAATTCTAAATAGGTAGAAGAACGCAATCTATGTAGAGGGACTGTTAGAAACTGGGGTTTAGAAGGAACATGACCCTAGGGTCATCCATCCACTGTATTCTAAAATGGAAAATGCCATTCAATGGAGCTGGTTCCACTGGATCCTCCGGAGGACACTGTTTTGACATGAATGTTAGCAGAGGTTATCCATCCTCAACCATTGACTCTGATCTTCAAGCCTGCTTTTTTCCCAAAAGTGAATTCTTCCAGGGATCTCTGCTATGTGACTAAAGAAAATAGCAAAAACTAGACTCTACATTCTCTCTAAATTGTTTCTGTCCTGGAAGAATCAAGTTTATTTACACATGCTGTGCCGAAAAAAGAACCAGTTCCAAAAGTTCCCACCTACTAGCTTCAATATAGGGGTATATGTGCTCTTCCCAGGTAAAGGACTCAGCAACAACTTAGACTTGACTTTACAGATGTAAACAAATGTAACCTAATTTTACGTGTCTTCATGTTAACTGGAATGTAAAAAATAAAAAAAAGAATGCTGTTTTTAAAAAAAGAACCGAATAGGTGGTAGTCCAGTTCTGTGAACTAAATAGTTGGTGACATTGGCAAGGCATTTGCTCACTCAGAGTTGCTTTTCTTATCCATAAAACATTGCATTGTCTTTTTTAAAATTAAATCATAGCTGTGTACATTAATGAACATTGCATTGTCTTTGCAGCCCTTTGCCAGCCTTAAAGTATTATATGATTTTTTTTTTTTAGACACTTTATCACCCTTGGTAGAGTGCCGAGGCATCATAGTTCACAGCAACCTCAAACTCTTGGGCTTAAGTGATCCTTTTGCCTCAGCCTCCCAAGTAGCTGGGACTACAGGCACCCACCACAGCACCCATGTATTTTTAGAGATGAGTTCTTGTTCTTGCTTAGTCTGTTCTCCAACTCCCGAGCCTCGGCCTCCCAGAGAGCTAGTATTATAGGCATGAGCCACTGCACCTGGCTTTATTATATGATATTAATCAAACCTCTACAGTATTCAATTATTCATTCCACTGCCTGGCATGTCTCAGGAGCTTACTTGGGTACCCAAAATACAACTTAGAGTAAGAAAGAGTCCCAGGCTAGGCCTGGGCATAGTGGCTCACACCTGTAATCCTAGCACTCTGGGAGGCCAAGGCCGGTGGATTGCCCGCGCTCAGGAACTCAAGACTAGCCTGAGGAGTGAGACTCTGTCACTAAAAATATAGCTGGGCATTGTGGTGGGTGCCTGTAGTCCCAGCTACTCAGGAGGCTTAGACAAAAGGATCGCTTGGGCCCAAGAGTTTGAGGTTGCTATAAGCTATGATGCCATGGCACTCTACTAAGGGTGACAAAGTGAAACTCAAAAAAAGAAAAGAAGAGAGGAGAGGAGGGAAGGGGA